TTCTAGGGGTTTTTTTTGTGTTTTTTGGGAGGGGAAAAAAATGGGGGGGTTTTGGGGGAGGAGTGGGTAAAATTTTTTCCCCGTTTTTGGGGGTTGAAAAAGGGTGAAAAGGGGGGCCTTTTGTAAAATTTTTTTTTGGGGTGGCCCAGGTTTTTGGGGGTTTTTTTCAGGGGGGGGAGGGGGAGGAAGGCCCGGGGGTGAAAAGGGAAGAAAAAAAAAAAAAGGGGGGAGGGAAGGGGCCGGGAAGGGGTTTTTTTTTTTTTGGGGGGGGGAAAGGGGGGGGGGGGGGGGGGGGGGGGGGAAAAAAAAAAAAGGGGTTTAAAAGGGGGGGGGGGTTTTTTAATTTTTAAAAAGGGGGGGGGGGGTTTTTGATTTTAAAGAAAAATTGGGGGGGTTTTTTTAAAAAAAAAAAAAAGTTTGAAAAATTTTTTTTTTTTTTAATTGGAAAGGGGGGTTTTTTTCAAGAGGGGGAAAGGGGTTCCCCCCCCCCCCCCCCCCCCCCCCCCCCAACCGCAACCTGTTACAGTACTCAGATTCCCCGCGTTGTAGGTCTGCTCGGTGCTAGAAAATAACTAGGTTGCTGTGAATGCCACCTCAGACTGTAGTAGATTGTGACGTCAGATGACCTGTCGGAGATCTACCTTAGGGGTGTTGCCACAGATAGAGTCAGTGTAGGATGGATGCTGAACCTTGCTTCAACACAAGGTTGCTCCCCCCCTTGACTCATAACACAACTATCCGTCCTCGTCAGCCTCTCCACCAGAGGTTGAACTGGTGTTTATCCACACCACACATCCCAAAGGGAACTTGCTCACACGCGAACCTGGAGACAACCGTCTCATAGGAATAGTATTAATAAAAAACTACCGGCGTATCCACTTCATGCAGTCCTGTGTCTCTTTCCTCTTGCCTGCCTCTGCGCCAGGTCGAGCAGCGGGATGATCGATGCCTGTCGGTAGTTGGCCGGGTACTTGGCCATGATCTTCTCCACTCTGGCGTAGTTCTCGTCCGTGAAGTCGAAGAACGTCGTCTCGTTGTTGTCCGGGGTGTCCTTGTGCTGTTGTGTCGTGTGGTGTCGTAGGGGGTGGGGGGGTGGGGGGGTCGGCCTCTCGTTCGTTAGGAACGTTGTGGTTCGAAGGCCTGCCTGGATGGCCAAACGTCAGCACTGCTTTTTTGATGCAGGCGATTTCGCTTAACGCAGATGTGAACAACCGGTAACCTGGTAGATTCCTCGCCCTCCGAATCGTCTGCAAAGTTTATGGTTCTGGTGTGCTGTCATGTTGTCCTAGGTCGGGTCGGGGGAAGACGCCCGGACAACGAAACGTGTTCTTGTCTAGACCTGGTTGACGCTGATACACCGACGACAAAATCTACTTGATTATCCCATCTCCCACCATGCTCGCCATGGTCCTGGTGTGCAATATTCTGGTATCCCATGTGAGGCGAGCAGTACTGCTGTGCACGGCTTTTAGGTATAAATACGGTTTTCTTCGACGACTGCTGTGCGTGTAAGATAACAATGAGCGCCGCCATAATCTAGATGCATGTACCCAACGCTCACAATTCGGGTTCTTCTGGCTAGACATCGCACTGCAAGTCGCAGCAGAGTCGCCGGCAAGGGCTCAAAAGCGCGACACCACCTCTGTGTGCTTCGTTGCCACGGCACAATGAAGCGCCGTGGGGGTAAGGTAATGCTGTACACCATCTGCTGTGCTTACAGCAGCAGTACATGAATGCACACAGAATGCACGCAGACGTGCATGTACGTCGGAGAACAGACACACACACACACACGCCGGCGGGGATCGAGCTTCCATTCGCCCCTCGTGCAGACGCTGCTGCAGTAAAAACAAGGACAGGAAACAATGCAAAACAAAATAAACCCCGAAAATACTCTCTGCTATGCACATTGCCGCCAATTTCGACGCCCAACCACAGTGCTGTGTTGCACCCTCGCGCGCACCCTCGAAGGAGCTCTCTGATGCGCTACACCTGGGTGAGGAACTGTACCACAATCCGTGAGGCATTGCAATTGGAGACACAGCACGCTGTCCCCGCCAACAAGAACACACAGGTCTGCATGCATGCACTCCCCGCAGAAGGACCTGGTGAATAGATGTCCCAGAGGAACAAGTGCGGCCGGGGGTCTTCAAGCACGGAGGCAAACACACACACACAGCAATACATAGCGGACAGAGACGGCGAGGACAAGGAGCGAGCTCCCACTTTTTGCACACCTGTCCCAGTTGGTGCACTTCGTCACGAGCCGAAACAGTGCGGTGTACGTTCCTCTCCGCGCTAACGGTGGCCGGTGCTCGAACGGTACATGGTCGCCGTGATGCAAGGGCCCGCGTGGCAGCTCCTATCGTGCGCAACGCCATGGTCTCCGGCTTACTAGCCCAGCAACAACGTGGTGGTCACTTGCGCTGGAGGAGGCCCGGGGGCCCACGCATGAGAACATAACGGGGGTAGGGGGGGTTCCGCAAATTCTGACGCGTTCAACCTGTGTCACACGCCGGTCGTGCATACGCCAAAGCTGGCGAGATAAAAAGGTTCTCCAGCTGGAAAACGCCTCCCAGAACCACACCCTACAACGCCTCATTTGAATTGAACGGGTCACACCGCCGCAGCAACAACGGCTGCATCCGCTTGAGACCTATGGCAGCAGTAGCCGCGCACGTAAAACAGCAGCAGACACCCCACATGGACATGGATGATGTGGACGACGTAGTTTGGAAATGTTGCAGTGTAATCGAGGTACATTGATTTGCCAGTGCTAGTGTACCGTATACGACACAAGATAACACACCCCCTCGACCGATTTTGAAAGCTCGATTTATCAACAGCAGAAAGAGTCGCAGCGCCGAAAACGGGGGCGTTGAAGCTGTCTGGTCGAGAGCTCTCCGAAAGTGTATCGTTTCGTTTATGCATCTTCTTCGTCGTGGCGTAGTCGAGCTTTGAAAATCGGTCCAGGGGGTGTCATCTTGTGTCGTATACGGTAGTCGAGGACGTGTCTTAGTGTGTTTTAGGGGGGAGAGCGTGGTGGTGCGGCGCGGATGTCATCCCAAATGGTCGCGGTTTTTGTGGTGGTCCGTGCAGCTGCTGCCTCCGTGTTGTGCGGACGGTCGACGTAGAGAAGAAAAGTTGGTTTGTATCATATGATTCTTGGAGCATCATGACAACTGCCAACTTGAACACGCGAGTACTTTCAAAACCGGAGAGCTCTAGGGAAACCGCATAAAATGTCAACGGGCAAAGAAGATACACCATCACGACGCCGAATCAAGGCTGCAACTTAATTCCAATGAGTGGTCATGATAAAGGGACCAGCGGTACTCTCATCCAACGCGCAAAAAAAAACTCAAAACATATCGGACACGGGGAAGAACGAAGACTCCGCGGGGTCGAGAGACTCTTGCCCCTCCACCCCTGCCAACCGGCAATGGTTTTCCAAGCGAATCCCCCTTCTCCTTGCTGCGGCGGGCCGGCTACCGAAGGAAATAATACCAATCCGACACAACAGATGCTGTTGGCAGACCCCCCAACACACGCAACACACATCCACACGCGCGCGCAAACCAACACGCGCCAACGGTAACAAAGCGAATGCAACGCCGAGTAAGGCATCGGCAACACGCTTTACATTTTCCTGACGTGTCCTACAGGTAAACGGTCTCCTCCACTACGGCGCACTACTACTTTTGTGTCGTTTGCTGGGCCCCGTTTGCTTCTTACGGGGCGGTGGTTGCAGACGCCCCAACTGAACAAGATGGGCGGTCGTCTGGAACGGTGGCGAAGCCTGCCCCCCCCCGCGACGAGAAACGTCCACGTTGTCCAGGGCACGAAACGGCAACGCCAAGCCCTCGGACGTGTGCGCCCCGTTGACGGGTGCCGCCTGGAAGCCGATAGGCGCGGCGCTGGTGGTGTCCGATCCTGCCGGAGGGTGGGACGCTCGGCGAACCCCCGTGGTACCGCTCGGCGAACCCGTAGCGAAACCAGCAGAGTTTACGCCCCCCCCTGCGCGCCCGTGGCCTGTCCCTCCGCCCCTGCCACCGCTTCGCCGGCCGCCGTTTCCACCGCCACCGCTTCCCTGGCTGCTGCTTCCAGGGTCACCCTTTTCCCCTGCCCGTCCTCTTCCGGTAGACCCCTTTCCCCCCCGGCCGCGCCCCCCCCGACCAGGGTCCCCGGCGTCTCCCTGCGGCAGGGCAGGGGTGGGCCGGGGGAGAGTTCCCGTGAACACCCGGCTCGTTGACTCGTCTCGTAACGACCGCTTCTCCACCTCGATTTGTTGCTTGGCGTGAAGCTTCATGGACTCCATCAAGACTCCATCAAGCGTTGGATGCTCGCCACAGACGGGACCTCTTTGAACATACCACCCAGCTCCTTCCCTAAGGCGACGCCGTTGGCGTACGCGTAGGCCGACAAGTTGGGTCCGGAGTGGGACGACACGATCGGACTGGTGTCGACGGGCGGCATCTGTCCGGTAGGCCCCGCAGGTCCCGTCAGCCCCGCAGCTCCGGTCGATAGCTTGGCAGGCTTAGCGGCCAGCGCTGCCATCGTCCATGGCGTCTCACTGTCACGCCACCTTGGTGAAATGGTTGCTCCGTTGAATTGGGAGGCACGCTGGTACCACAAGGCCTTGATGGCGTGCGGGCAAAGTAGCCCGTAGACGAGCTGCCGCAGGCACGTGCAGAGGAAGAAGCCGTCCGGTCCAAGGGCGACGAGGTGACCGCACTCGGACGCCGTAGACATCGGTGTGATGCGCACCACCGTGTGGACGTTCTGGTCACGAAGTAACTCCGCGAAGTGAGGCACGGATGTGCGGGACACCATGGAGACACCAGCGGCTTCGGACGTCGGTATTGAAGGGTCCACCAACTCTCCGGAGCCGGTGTCGTACGTGAGGTTCGCCTTCGTCGGGTCTGCCACCAACTCCTCGAACAGTCTCCGCGCCGCCTCTTCGTCACGCACGACAGGTATCGCCTCGTAACTGAGAGCCCCGAGGATCTGTGCTTCAGTGTCCTGCCAACACGGCATGCCCATGGGTAAGGGCGGTGTGCGACAGGGGGGGGGGGGGGTTCGGGAGGGAAGTCAGGTTCGGCATTGACATGAATACCAGCAGCGTCGTTGGTGCTGCCCACAAAGACTGATCGCCTTCCACAACTCGAAGGCAAGTACAACTCCATTACATAACCTTGTGCTATACAAGCGGGCACGCAGAAGTCGGGTTGGCGAGTGAAGGAAATGGGGGGAAAAGACACAACTCATGGCCGCGTCGCTGTGACTTTCCTTGGTCAGGCACCGCATCTGAGGGGGGTACGGTTAGGTGTAATGGGGGAGAAAAAATCTGGGTCCGTCCATCGCCGCAAGCGAAGGCCGCCACAACTAACCTCCGTGGCGTGCTGGCTGCACTGCTCGTACTTCACTGCGTTCAGGACGAAGTTGAACGTTCGCAGGTGCTTGGTCCTGAAGCTTTCCACATACGAGTGTCCCTGCACAGCCACTCGGGCGACCGTTCCTCCCAGGTTTCGTCTAGCAAGCACGGGGCACAACGAGCAGAGCACTAAACTTGTCAACCAAACGCGCCACCACACAACATGATGTAGAAATGCCGGCGACTATTAATGTATTGTTACTCTGGTTGGGTTTTGTCCCCGTCATTGCAAAGGATCTCTGGTGTGGGCCGCCTGGGAAGCCTCGAGTCCGTCGTGCATACGCACTACCGACGACATACCACCTCGCGAACGTTGAGTTGACCTCATCCACATGCAACGGGCGTGCTTCCGCGTGGTTGGTCAATTGCTCTTTGTTGTCGAGAGGCGACCTACGAGACACGCACAAAAATTCAAATGCTACCACCTTCAAATGCTACCACCTTCCTTCTGAACAGGTTGCCAGAACTCAACCACGCAATGCGTCGAGGTCACTGGACCATGGGTTGCCTCAGCTGGTGTCGCAAAATATGTACACGCAAATGTCACAACCGGACGCCCACCTTTGGGTCCTGTTGATGTCATCCTGAACCTTGCCTAGGAGCGCTCGGCCGAGGTCGACCATGTCGCCCTTCCTGGTCACCAGCTTCTTCACCGCAGCATTCATCGACTCAACACGCTGCGTGGAGGCAATGCCGAGAGTGTGCAGCCCAGGGTGGACGTACGACGCCCATTTGCCAGCCCGCCTGTCACACGTTACGGGACGGCTCAAAATTAGTGGGCACGAGACGGACGACGTCACCAACTGACGGAACCTTCAAACAGAATAAACAGGAGAAAGGCATCGTCGACGGAGGAGGAGCAAGACGTCACGCGTCCGTGGCCTACTTAGCATCGGCTGTCATTCTAGTCGGTGCTTACCCTGTGCCGAAGATGTTCTTCTCCATGTACTCGTACATCTTGCTCTCCGGGGGCAAGAGGTCGAGGAGCGCCCCTTTACATTGCAGGAAATACTGCGAGAGTGACAAGTAACGGAGCACGCGACGGGATGAAAGAAAATGGACCGGGAGAAAGAAGGTGCCAAGGACCTTTCGTATGAAATAGACAAAACAAGGAGAGCGGGCCGTTGGGTGTAGCCGCACGCGGCGGCGACGATTCCCGCGCTTCTACGATCGCAGCTCTCTCAAGCGTTGGACAACACGGCCTACACCTGCAAGTGGAAGATCCGTGCGGAACATCACCCACGAAAAAAATGATTCAATGTCCAACCAAGATGGCTCACCTCCTCCGTTTGCGCGTACGCCGCTGCCTTGAAAAGTTGAAGAACCTGACCCAGGACACCCTTCTCAAGACCCCCCCCATGCTCCCGGATGTTCCCCATGGTGTGCCAGATGCACAACTTGTTCAGGGCCGATGGATAGACCTTCGCGATTGCCAACATCGCGGCTGCGTCACAGTCAGTGAAGACCACCTTATTCAACATTCGAGCACAGTAGACCGGAGGAAGTTCACCGCATGATCATGTCGTGTTCAACTAAATCGCGTTCAGTTCCTTTATTCTAACATTGACTGGCGCCATTTATGGGCGAGTGCATACTGTATTGCCTTGTCATACTTTGTTTTACCTCCGGGGTTCCTCCTTCGCAGAGCTGCTTGAACGACTCGAAGACGAACTCGAAGGATTCCGACCGCTCGTCTGACAGCAGAGCTTGCATCGCAATCTGGCTGTGGTTCTCCTTGTCCACCACGACTATCAATGCAAGATGGAACTTGTATCTGGTTGGAGGAGGCGTGGCACAACAAGCACAAGAAATGGACATGGCGTGCATGAGATCGTGGAGAAGGGACGTGGCATGCGTGAGATGGTGGAGAAGAAGATACCGTCGACACTTTTCTCGACAACAGAATTGCCCCCACAACTTGGGGTGCCAAGGGACTTGAACAAAGAGCGTCTAACACTACACTCACATGTTCGTGTTGAACGTGTTGTCCTGGACGATGACGGAGTGGTATCGTACGGCGTTGTACTTCTGCTGCTGATATGCCCAGGCGATGGACGTGATGCGGCCCTGCTCGTCTGCCTTGAACCTCATGAAAGCCTCGCTCTGCTGGAGGTGCGAAACGAACAGCTGGGCGTCGTTGAACACTCCGTTGTCGGCCTTACGTTCTGCGTCGAACGCATCCCTCATGCTTCGCACCTAACGGAAACATGGACAACCCGGCAGTGAACTCGGTTAGGGTGTACTCGGACGAAAGCATGCAGACGAAACAAGAATGGTTTCAACGAAAATGCCGCCGGTTACATAATTCGTCATCACCCCACTTTTGGGCTACCCCCCGTTCCTCCCGTGGGTTTTTGTCGCTCGGCAACACGCCGATGGCTTTGTGAGCTCGACAAAAAGGTTGCCACTTTTTGTCGCCTTGGTGTTTGTTAGCGGCAAACATGATGGTGGTCGAGTACATCATGGTGTGCGGGGTGGACAACCTTCACTCTGCGCAAAGGGGATGGTGGCACCACTTTCTGTTGAATTGGTCGAGCACCCTCAACGTATTGACACTGTCCTTACTGCTGTCTCTGGAAGAGTGCAGCACGAAAACAAATTCAGGGTTACTCGCAGCTGTCATCCTTAGCCCAACACGCCGCACACCCAGCTGGATGTAGCGGCACGCCCCATGCGACTCGGCGAATACCTCACGGTGCTTCGCGCTTGGTGATGTCACAGACTGGTCCGGTGACAAGCCGGCATGATTCCGTCCCGGCTTTGTAGGGATGCCATGTCACCGGTCTAACGACTGCGGCATGCACGGCGATGAGTACTCCCCCCTCCCCCCCCCGTCGCGCCGTCTAGGTAGCGTTTACTACCGCAAACTACACTCTCGCCCACTCACCTTTTGCTTTCCGGCTCTCCCCAGCCTCTTTCCGATGTCCTCGAAAGCCTTGTGGATCTCTATCGTTGGCAAATTTTTGAAGTGTAGCAGACGGATGAGTTCGGATTCCTTCTCGATGTCCTCCTCGCTCACGTCGTTTTCGTAGCGTCGTGGGCGCTCGTGCTCCATTCCGGCTGAATCTGGATCGGGGGTAAGATGCGCGAGGCAAACCTTTCCCTGCGCATCCGGTATCGGGAGGCAAGCGAAGCAGTGTCAACAGTACGCACATGATCGCAAGGTCTCCATGTTCAAACAAGCGGGTGCGCTCCTGTCATACCTCAGGCTACGCGCAGTTGATTTGGTAAGGTGCAGTCGGCAGTGATGTCCGGGGACGGACCCCTCGCCATGCGGTGCTGGCAAAATATATCAAGGGTGCCTCCTGAGTCCAAAGCGTCAGAGCTGGGATTCGAACCCGCGTGAACATCATTTGTTAAGAATGTCTAGCTTTGGGCTGCCTACATTAACGCATCCAACGCGATCTATCCATTGTACCGACGTACTTCCCCTCAACTTAACTCACCTTTGCAACTTGCGGTGTATTCATGTCGGCCCCCCACCACAGCCCCAAGTGGAACTCGCAACCCACCTGGGATTCGGACAGGGTATAAACAACACGACAGTGTTGTGAGGGTACAGAAGAAATATGTGTGTCCGCGCGAAGAGCGATGGCCATTTAGCGTTACGCCATTTGCGTTCCATGCGTTTCATACGCACGAAGACAAACCGCACACACACACACATACACACGGGAGGTGGACTCACCTACGTCCCTTGTTGCGGTGCTTTCCTCGACAACTACAGCGCAGAGGGTGCGCAACCAGCAAGCAAGCAACAACAGAAAAGCCAACAAATTTGCCGGAAGAACGCGTTGGAGCATCGCCCGCACAACGGAGACCACAGCGAAGAGGTGCGGCCGCCGTGCGACCAACAAAAGGTCCTGACCCGGCACACAACTACTCCTTGCGTCGACGCTCGCGTTTTCGAGCGCTTCATATTGCAGAGAGAGGGGGACTACAGCGCAGCAGCTCAGAACGTTCAACCGCGGACGATGTCCCGAAAAGTCCATGTATGCAGCGATCATGTTCAATCGGCGCCAAAAAGAAATGAAGTTCAACAACAAAGCGCGCCCAATGTCCATTTCCCATCGCGACTCCTCCGTTGACTTGTCAGATGACTCGTCACCCGACGCGCTAAAAAGAGGAGCCGAGACACAACGGTGGCGAGAGCTCAACATCGGGAGCTCCACATCGGTTCGTACTTCAGGCAGACAAACCTTCTGTGACTTTGTGTTGCGGCGAGCGCTCGGATCCGCGACACGTTGACACGCTCTCGGCTTCCCCCCCTGGCAGCACTTGATCCATACGGAGCTCCATCTGTTTCGCATGCGGGAGTTCTTTTCCTGCTTTTTCGTGAAAAGCTGGAGGGGGGCGGCGGCAACACATTCAGATGTCAGCAGCCGTCGGATGTCCAACATGAGAGGCTGCGCATGTCGCTAATCATAAGGCGATTACGGCGTTGTAGGCTGTGGTTCTGGGAGGCGTTTTCCAGCTGGAGAACCTTTTTATCTCGCCAGCTTTGGCGTATGCACGACCGGCGCTGTGTCACACGCGGATCAAACAAGAGACATCTTTGACAGCTGCCCACCGTCTCCGTGTCCTCTTTAACTCTCGTCACAACAGCACACCACCATGAGGCCGGTCCTGAACTTGTTCTTCCTCTTTGGCTCGTCCGTTGGGTAAGTGATATCGGTACAATATGCAGATGATGGCAGATGCCGCTTTGCAGTGGCAAGAAAAACCAGCTGAGAAAAACGAAGTTCCGACATGAAGAGTGCTCTCAGCTCGCCTCATCATGCACGTGCAAGTGATGATGCTTGCGAGCATGCTACGATGTGAGGGCTCACGCAGGGCGTTAAATGAGCCTGTACGCCTCTAGTGCAAGGTGTTCACTATTCTTCAATGCCTAAATACTGGCAGCAAAACATGACCACGATAGGCACCATGCGGCACCATTGTCGCTTCAGTCATGGTGAGCTTTAGCTTCACCTATGATGCATATGCATCGCAGATCAAACGCAGCAGCATCGGTCTACGAAACGACCATCGCTTCACCAACATACAAGACTATTAGCAGTGATATACCCCCCGCTGTTGACGATTGTGGTCGCTTGTGCTCTCTTCAGAGGGTTGCAAACTTTTTGGGGTGCAGTGACCTTTCCCCGAATTCACGAGCACACCCACAGCACTAATCGATTGATAACATGATTACTTTCTCTGTCTCTTTGTTCTCTCTCTCTCTTTCTCTCTCTCTACTATGCGTATGTCGTGTCAATTATGCCTGTCTGCCGCACTCTCACACCCGTTGCCCTCTCTCTCTCTCTCTCTCTCTCTCTCTCGCTCGACCTCACCCTCCACTACTTCTGTGCCAGGTTCTATGCAAACCCCATGATGAGACGGGTGGCGGTTTCTTCCTTCGCAGGCAGCACAATCGTCCGAGCAGCGAGCGCTACCGCCTTCCCAAGCCAGCGACAGGCAAAGTTCACCACGTGAGTTCCCAAACCCAACTTACCCAACAGTAGCTGTCATCCATGTGTACATGTACATCACACCGCTTCCTAGAGTTTTTCTATAGAGAATCTGGTATTCCGGTGAGGCCTACATGTGCATTTCACATTTCACCCCTCGACACATGTCCAGGTGCCTTCCAAGCGGTACTTTAACATTTGATGTAGCAGGTTCACGTGTAGACGTGTAAGGAGGAGTCCTTCCCTATTTCGCCGCGAAAAGGTCTGCGGCAGCTCTCGAAGCCACCACGTTCACGTGCGATGTTTCCCAACGTAAACAAAACCATAGTGTGGGCGCTTTCTGTGTCAACCCCTCCGTGGTCTAAACAATGGTTGTCGAGGTCGCGAGATCGAATCTTGGTCATCGCTACACCGTTTTGAACGGTGTTCAATCCTTAGAATGCTCGGGGTTCGGTGGAGACGTTGTCGAGGGAGTGTATCCCCGAAACTCTGTCCGGAGTCCTTTCGAGTGACCCCAGGCTGATCCGCCCTCCAGGTGTACTCGAACATTTAAGGGCTTGCCGTCCAGATTGGATGGGCCGGGAACGAAACAACTGACGACTAGACTACTGCTGTGCGCTTTTCCAACATTTTGCAGTAAGACCAGAACCGCCAGTAGAAGCAGCGACGAACCGAATTCACCACCATTAGAGGGCCTCTCGATCCCGAACTCACCCGTACCGTGGGCTCATTCATGACGCTTGTGCCAAGAACAATCGCCACCATCATAAAACACGAAAACGTTGGCCAAGAGCCCTTCTTTGGGTGTTGGCTGGGGGGTCTTTGACCACATTCGGATTGTCGTTACACACGCGTCGCCTGTCTGTCCTCCTTCCCTCCTCGCCAGGTCGATGAACTCGGTGGACTTCGTGGAAAAGGAGATCGACAGCAACAACGTGGTTGTCTTCTCCAAGTCGTACTGCCCGTGAGTGCCAGCTGCGGTTATTTATTGCTCAAGTGTAAATAGTCATACGAGCCGCCCCTGAGCGCGGTGGCGGCAGCAGCCGCAGCTGATAGGAAGCGCGTCACACCAACCCCCGCGACGCAACAAGCGTACATGTGGTGGCCTGGGCAGTTGCGTAAAACAAGTCACCGTGCGCTCCAGTGCTGCGTTTCCTGCGAAGAACGGCATGGTTAGCTGGCAAGACGTAGCATGCAACGCACGACCGCTGTGGGTCGCCTCCGATTTCTCGTCCTCGCACCCTCCCCCAACATGAATGAAATCTTGCTCAACAATTGTTGCAACTGCTTAGTGACGTCTGGAAACCGATAGGCCTTACCCGGCAATCGCTGCGGGATCATGTTTTGCTGGTTGCATGGGCCGAATTTTCGTTTGCATCAAGTTGTAGAAGGACCAACCTGACGAGAATGGCAGTACCACTTACCACCAATAGAAATAGCGTGGAAGTGAAACTGGAAGGTTCTCTTCGTTCGGATTTTTATGCCATGGATCTTTTTATGCCATGGATCCAGCCACCGAGGTCGCCTTCATTTGTCACTGGAGCTTGCCTCGTAACCTGGCAGGCGTTCTTGTACTGTGCTCCGTCCGTCGTCGCCCCCCCCCCCCCCCCCCCCCCTTTCCCCTTCCCCTTTTTTTTTTC